AAAAATAGAAAGAAATCAACTGGCCAACTAAAAATATATAGAAAAAAAATTAGCCGGGCATGGTGGTGCATGCCTGTAGTCCCAGCTACTCGGGAAGCTGAGGCAGGAGGATCACTTGAGCCCACGAGTTTGAGGTTGCTGTGAGCTAGGCTGATGCCAGGGCACTTTAGCCCGGGCAACAGAATGAGACTCTGTCTCAAAAAAACAAAAAATTTCCTTGTAGTGCCTATCTATGTTGGCAGAAAGCTAAACAGAAACTTGAGACTTCTAGAAATCTGTATTTCCCCAACTTTCATGGATTTGCACTAGAGACTCCCAACAAGTAGGTCCACTTTAGGTCTATGCTCCAGTCTAGTAGGATTCGAAATAAGAGGGGAATCCAGTCAATGCAACCTCTTTTACTATACTTAGGGACTTGACAGCACAGAATTCCTTCCCTCCCCATCTCATCTCCAGGTTCTCTTTTCTCACAAAAAAGACAAGGACCCCTGGAATACTGTGCCATACCTTGCACAGAGCAGGTACCCAGACTGACTACATTTCAGCTTTGGAATCAGCCCACACTAAACCTCTCCAGTTTCCAGAAAACCAAAATAGAAAGCCTTCTCAATCATAATTGAATCTCATAGAAGTTTTTATTTCAGTGATCAACAGAATGCAGTAAATGGAATCTACACTGATTTAACATTAGGCATGCACCTCTACCTGAAACTGCTATTAGTTTTTGACTAGCCTAAATCTTTATAACTTATTTAGGCACATCTTTAAAGTTTTTGTACCCTGATATACAAGGTAAGTTAACTTCTTCCTTGTGGCAGGCTAGTAATGAGAATTATGTTCACTGGCTAGATTCCTTTATAACTAAAGGCCTCTAGACTCTCAGACTGCCCCATAATACCTTGAGACCATAATTTAATATAGATATTTCAGCAAATCACAGTACAGGGGAGGCAAATAATCTACAAAGCTGAAGTGCACGGTATGAACACTCCATAGATCTTTTTTCCCCAACATTGATAGTCAAACACTAGATAAGGAGGCCCACAGTTAAATACCAAATTATCCTTCCCCCACTGCTATCCTTTCTGAAAGACACAATGATCTCCCCAGAAATTCGAAATGAATCCACACAAATGAGAGATTTTACCTATGTGGTCCCACAATCAAATTATAGAAAGCAGTTCCACTATCAAAATTACAGGAAGCAGTTAATGGCGCCTTTGAGAAAAGCACAGTCCCACACACAGTAATACACATCTAATAGAGTTTTCCATTCATCTGTCAATTATTTTCACAAGATTAGCATTAAAAAAAACACAATCAAATACACATATATAATCCTCAAGCCCCCCACACACAAATTGGTCTTTGTTCTTTCTCAGATGACATGATGTCCCAAGAGTGACGAAAGATGGGAGCCAATTCCTCCACAGCCATTTCTTCAATCCTCCCATCAACAGCTCTTCATTTCTTGAACTACCTTCTTTTTCCAAAAAGGTAATGCTGAGATCAGTCAGAAAGGCTTTCTGAGAAGACTGGCTTGGATTTCTGGGTCTGTTCCAGTCGATTCAAGATGAATTGGCTTGTATCAATGAAACGCTCAACGCAGTTCACAAAACAGGCCTCAGCCCGACTGTCCAACTTTGGCCCAGGTTTGTCCATGCACTTCTCCTGCTCAGGACAAGATACAGAATCACAAAAGGAACTTGGACATACCTAACAGGTACAATGCACACTATCTCGGCGATGGGCACACTTATAACTTTGACTCAAGCAGTACAAAAGCAATCCATGTAACCAAAATATTTGTACCCCAGTAATATCCTGAAATGTTTTTTAAAAAGGAAACTTAGAAATTAAAAAAAGAGGGATGGGGGTTACTTTGTATTGCTTAGAGGGAAAACTTCACCTAAAAATAGTATCTGATATGTTAAGAATAGTTACAAAGTGTGGAGCAATTTTCTCCAGCCTTAAATTCTCACAACCCTATGGAGTAGATACTATTATAAATTCTCATTTTACAAAGAGGGAAACTGTGGTGCAGAGATACTTTGCCCAAGGTCATAGGGCCAGAAAATGGTAGAGCTATTACACAGCAAGAAAAAATGGCAACATATAAATGAAGTAATGTTTTGTTCAATTTGGTTGTAACTCCACAATGCTGCTTGCATTAATGCCTTTCAATTAACTGCAGAACACAAGGGTGAAAGGATAAATCATTATGTCAAAGCACCCTAAAACCTATCAAAGAAGAAAAAAAAAAAAATCTACAACCTGAGATCCCGTAACCTGTCTACTTAGGCCAGAGGTTTTTGAATGCTCTCCAGACAAATGGGAAACTGTATGAATTTTCCTAAAGGGCCCATAGCTTACAGATTGTTAAATGGAGTCCTTAAGCACACCCACACTTGGCCCAGAAGTAACAAATCACACATTTTTAAAAAAGAATCAAAGCATTCTGGCAGACCAGGGTCAAATAAGCATTTGGTAAGTGTCATAGTCCAGCAATATCACAAATTTATGGGGAAAGGACTATGGAAACAGATGACTGTATATAGTTCAAGTTCGAAAATTTGGTTAATTATCCTCTGCGGTGTACACAAGCCTCAGACCTTCCAATTCCAAGGAAAATTATTCTGGACCTCTGAATTCTGTTAATTTTGTACGTCAAGGGAGGGCAGCACGCTGTCCTTGGCAACCAGAACACTTTTATCTGGAGCTGCAAATGCCTTCCACCCTTTTGCCAAAGTCCCCTCTCAGGGCAGACTCAATTCCTCAACCTTCAGACCTGAAACGTCTTGCTGTTACACAACAATCCAATAAAACCAGTAAATGTGTGTGTGTTGGAAGAGATTACACCACTTTTAAAGTTGATGGGCTAGAGCCATTCATTTCTCACCGGGGAGAATTAGAACTGGGGAATCAAGGTAAATCCCAAGGAGTCCGGGAATAGCAAATTCACTGGTTCACTGACTGTCTGGGACTGGAGCTCCCAGAAATAAAATCCCAGAGCTGGGAGCTCTGATCAGTCTCGGTGACCAGCACTAGGCAGCTTTAACCTCAGGTGCCAGAAAGAGCTGGGTGGGACAGAGGCGTTAAGTCTTCTTTGATCCCAGTCCTATGCACCAACAAAGTCGAGGTCCCAAGTGACAGTCCCCTGAGAAGTAGAGTCACCCTTCTTCCCTGCGGCTCAGCCTGAGGAACCTGAGAAAACCAAGGGGTGCTGCCGGGTCCGCCCCCACACCACATCCCCAACGTTGTCGCGAGTCCCGAGGGGTAAAGACAGAGAGGGAAAGTAAGCACAGTGTCCAGGTCCCAGCCCCAGGATCCTCACCCAACAAAGTTCGGTCATCTGGTGCACCAGCTGCTGGAAGCGCTGCTTCTGAGTCTCCACCTCGATGAAATGCTGCAACTGCGGGTCCACAGCGCCCAAACCCGCCGCAGAGGAAGACGAAGAGGAATCCATCCCAGCGCGACCACGCGTGCCGAGACGAACTCCGCACCAACTCACCGACCTTCACGTGTCTCCGCGACGGAACCGGAACCACAACCCGCCGCCCTGGGGACCGCCCCGCGAGCGCACTGCGCGGGCGCGACAAGGGCGCCCGGGTCCGCGCCGCCACCTCCAGCGCCCGAGGCGACCGAGTGCTCCGGAGCACGCCCGGCTCCTCCCGGGAGCCCGCAACCCCGCGCCCAGCCTGCGCCTTGATGTTTCAGGGCTTGCAGCCTAGCGCCGAGGTGCAGTCGAGACGTTATTCCAAAAAAGAAAAAAGAATAAAGGAAAAGATAAAGCTACTTCCGACCACGTGGCCCGTTCGGGGCCAGCCCAACCTGCTTCCAAATTGGCCCGCGATTTCCCTGCTACCCGGATTGTGCGTGTCCCGGACTGCTTGACTTGTTCGTTGGCCATGCTGGGTCCCTGGCTCTGGTTTTTGGATGGAGTTTTCTCCTCTTCTGACCTATGGAAATGAGGCTCTGGCAGAGTTTGTCCCCGGCTTTCAGATTCATTCAGATATTGCATGCCTATCATGTGACAGGCCCTGTGCTTTGACCTGTGACTATCTCTGTTACAGAGACAGGATTTAACACAAGCGAGACAGGTTAAATGCCAGGGGTCCTGTTGAGTTCTCAGTGTTGGAATAGGCCAAACCATTATCACATAACAGCTTTCTTTTTTCTTTTTTATTTTGAGACAGTCTCACTCTGTTGCCCTGACTAGAGCGCCATGGCATCAGCCTAGCTCACAGCAACCTCTACCGTATTTCCCCGAAAATAAGCCCTATCCATAAAATAAGCCCTAGCAGGATTTCTAAACATTTGCCTAATATAAGCCCTACCGGGAAAATAAGACCTAGTGATGGGCGTGGCTACGCAGCGTTTCTGCACAACCCATGCATTTCTCCATGGAGCGCTGAAGAAGACGAGCAGCCCTTCTTATCTGTCCCATCCTGACAGCTACTATCCCAGAGGTGACCAGAAAGGTGCCGGCAGCCCCGCCAAGAAGGTCACTCCCTCTTTCAGGTCCTGGCCATCCTGTGCGTGCTGCAAGCTGAGGCTTTGAGGGGAAAATAACACATCCCCTGAAAATAAGCCCTAGGGTGTCTTCTTGAGGAAAAATAAATATAAGACCCTGTCTTGTTTTGGGGGAAACACCGTATACCTCCTGGGCTCAAGCGATCCTCCTGCCTCAGCCTCCCAAGTAGCTAGGATACGGGCATGCGCCATCATGCCCGGCTATTTTTCCTATTTTTGAGTAGAGATGGGTTTTCCCTGTTGCTCAGGCTGGTCTCAAACTCCTGACCTCAAGTGATCCACCTGCTTCAGACTAGGATTATAGGCGTGAGCCACTGCACCTGGCCACAATAGCTTTCTTGAACACTGGGATAGGGTGCTTCAGGTAGGCTGCATGATTTCATATATATTTCATATATTTTTTTTTTTAGCTAGCCTGCAGAGGTTGGAAGGCTGCATGATTAATCAAGATATCAGAGACCTTCATGTTTCCAGTAATTTTATTTTATCAAAACACCCTCCCCTCCCATTTTTAAGACACCATTTCATTCTTTTCAAATTTTGCCCCCCACCCACAGCTCTAATGCCTACCCAAAGAGCTGTTGGACCCCTTGTGAGGCTATTTACATCCCTCCCTCCCTCAAAATGTTTCCATCCTAAATTCAGTCTGTCTTAATATTCTTGGGAAATTTCCTCTCTGGGGGGTAATACCAGGCACAATAATTCCTTGGCCTTTGCTCAGAAGGCACTATCCCAGGGAATCAAAGAAGAGAGGCATTCCTAGGTGTAGAGAGGGGCCACTGTGTATTCAGTGGCAGCACAAGGGCTCCAAGGTCTGTAAGCCTAGGATTTCCTCAGAGAAAGTGAAACTGGGACTTGCAGAGGAGAGGAGTAGAACCAAGCTTATTGGCGAGCTCAGGATTCTTCATCCATGACATCTAGAATGTTGCTCAGAAGAATTTTGAAAGTGGGACGTTCATCTGCTTTCTAAAACCAAAGAAAAAGTGGAGTGTTATAGTGGCTAGAATCCAGAACTCAAGGGAAATTCAATGAGTAAGCAGCAAATGTTTATTAAGTATTAACTATATGCCCAGTAGCACACCCTGTCCATTATGAAAGAAAAAAAAAAAAGGAAAAGAAACAGTAGCTCTCCATAAAGTCCTTGCACACTTTTCATTTTTAGTAACTCAGGTTATTAGTGAGATAAGACAAATTTACAAATTAAACTGACAAACATATTGATTAAAACTAAGGACAAGTTCATGATCTAATTGTACACACTGCATTCTTATTTTGGAGCTTCAAGTGAAAAATGGCTGCCAAACAAGTTTGAGTGGTTGGCAGAACAGAAATCCCACAAACTGATAATTTTTAGTTTGGTTTCAAACACTGTTTCTATCTTCCCCAAACCAAAGTTAACAATGGGATTAACATTTCAAAACTACAATCTGCATCTCTGGGCAAGGATTCTGAGTGCATGGGACCTTCTGTTACCATTGTCTGGCCTCCAGACTAAGGCTCTTTTTGACAGCCATGGTCTACAAGCCTCTGAGGCATTTAGTGATTCAGGGAACATTCGTGCAAGAATGGTGTCCATCTGTCAGAACCAATCTATGGTTTTCAAACCTAGCTGAGTATCAGAATTTCCTGGGAAGTTTAAAAAGAGATTTCTGGGTTCCACTTCAGATGTACATAATCAGAATTTCTGGGGAAGAGGCCCAGTCTTCTGTATTTTTAAGAGTTGCTCAGGGATTCTGATATGCATCGAGTTTTGTGGCCACTGCTTTAAACACGCTTTGGAGAAAATGCCTGTCTGAAATAGTATTTAGATAGCAGATGAGGATGTCCTGATTGGAAGGGAATATAACCAATCACCCCTAATTCTGCATCACATAGGAGAGAGAAGGGAAATGACTCCAAGGAGTTTTCCCTTTCTCCACACAGTTTTTGGTGACCTCTGTCATTTGTTCAAGGGAAAGGAGCCATGCTCTGATCCAGATACCCACTTTCCACCTCACCCGGAGGGCTCCAGATTCACATATGTGTTTGTTGGCCACTGTGAAGAGCTGAGCATTTATTTCCTACTAGAGATTTAGGTTGCCAAAGTAAGGTTGCCAAGGATCTACTGAAAAGTGAAGAAGGCACCTGGGGAAGAACCCACAGTGAGAGCAGCAAAGCATTTTAGTAATAGTGGGACAGACTCTTCATTTTCAAAATACCACACCTACCCACATACCCCACCATGCACCATATTAAAAAACAAAACAAAAAACTCTACTACCTATTTTAGTTCCTTCTCAAACCTTAGGGTTTTAAAAAAAAATCTCATTTAGGCCAAGTGCGGTGGCTCACGCCTGTAACCCTAGCACTCTGGGAGGCTGAAGTGTGTGGATCGCTCAAGGTCAGGAGTTCAAGACCAGCCTGAGCAAGAGTGAGACCTTGTCTCTACGAAAAATAGAAAGAAATTAGCTGGACAACTAAAAATATATAGAAAAAACCAGCCGAGCATGATAGCATATGCCTATAGTCCCAGCTACTCAGGAAGCTGAGGCAGGAGGATTGCTCGAGCCCAGGAGTTTGAGGTTGCTGTGAGCTAGGCTGACGCCATGGCACTCTAGCCTAAAAAACAGAGTGAGACCCTGTCTAAAAAAAAAAAATCTTGGCCGGGCGGCGGTGGCTCATGCCTGTAATCTAGCACTCTGGAGGCCGAGGGTGGATGCTCGAGGTCAGGAGTTTGAAACCAGCCTGAGCAAGAGCGAGACCCTCTCTACTATAAAATAGAAAGAAATTAATTGGTCTACTAAATATATAGAAAAAATTAGCCGGGCATGGTGGACATGCTGTAGTCCCAGTACTCGGAGGCTGAGGCAGGAGGATGCTTGAGCCCAGGAGATTGAGGTGTGTGAGCTAGGCTAATGCCACACCTCACTCTAGCCTGGGCAACAAAGCGAGACTCTGTCTCAAAAAAAAAAAAAAATCTTATTTAGGACCTCAGCCAGAAAAGTTTGGCAGCTAGTGAAGTAGAAGAAAGGGCCAAGGACTCTCGAAGGAATGAACAAACTTTGATGACATTTCTTTGGTAATGCCCATACAATTGTCTGAGTGCCTTTGGCTACCTGCTAATGCTGGGTGATGTGGTCCCACAAACCCCCTCTTTCTAAAGCTGAATTAACATTGGGGTCTACTAACGATACTCTGGTGGCAATTGGGGTGGGCCTGGGAGAGCGTCTGGCCATCAGATGATTGGGGTGCAGACTGGGGTCAGAGAATGTGTGCGGCTGGCATGCAGCCATGGAGAGTGGAGACTGGCCAGATAAATGGGAAAGTAGGTTCAAGTAAATAAGAGGTCACAATAAAACTGATACCTCGTGCCAGCAACTGTACATGATGGTATATACTCTCTCTGAAGCCAGATGAGGCCTGTAGAGACGTAGGCCTTGAGCAATGTGCTCAGCGGTCTCGCTGTTAGTAAATCTTTCATATGGCATCTTCCCCAGGGAGTAAATTTCCCACATCAAAACACCTGGAAGACAGAAATAAAGGTATTAAGTCAGTTTGCAGTCTTTTGGGGTAGTAGGGGTCCTAGTCTTCCCAGAGCAACCTCCAAGATTAGAGTCAGCTGGTTCTCCCCTGTGTGCTTTTTGCATCTTACCCAAACTTCTGCTATAGTACTGACCACAGTGTGTGCCAGGGGACTGGAGATCAGGGTGGCACTAGATTATAAACTCCTCTAGAAGAGAGACAGCATCTTATTTGTCTCTGTAGTTACAGGGTCTGGCAGAATTCCTGGTACACAATCAGTATTCAGAAGCTGTTGAAAACTGAATGAAGGCAGGGATCATGTCCAGTTTCCTGTTTTTATCCTCAGAAACCCCCGTGGTGCCTGACACATAGCAAGCACTCCCCGAGAGTGAGATGAATGAAAGAACGATCTCTCTGTGCAGGTTGCAAAGTGTGAATTTTCCCATTGCATTTCTCTTCCTTTGAGCTGTGTAATCTGTATAATCTTATTCACTTACCAAAAGCCCAAATGTCAGACTTGCTGCTGAACTTGCTATACATAAGGACTTCTGGGGGAGACCACCTGACCGGAAACTTGGAGCCTACTGAGCTTGTGTATTCGTCATCCAGGACGTACCTGCAAGGGATTCAGGACTTGTTAGCATTAGGGTTTGGAGAGCTCTCATATTGAAGTTTTCTTGGCACAATCACAAGAGCGGCACAGATACATGCTTACAGGCTTTCTCTAAGGCCTCTGCTGGTCAACAAATATGTTTCACAGATGTTACTTTTAACCAATTTCCTATTTTCATATCTGAGCTTTCCTGTCGGACAGTATGGTTACAGGAAGAGTGAAGTGAAATAAGATCTAGCAGGTGTTCCCTTCCTCGTCTGGGTCCCTCCCCCTTTCCTTTCTCTGCTCTTCTTCCCTTCCATCTGCTCTGCAGTTGCCAGTGGGAATTAGACTGATTAAGAAAGAAGGAGGTCATTGTAAGTCTACGCACTTAAAGAAAAAAAAAAAAGAAAGAAGGAGGGATGGAGCAGAGTCAACAGGATTAACAGAACAAGATAAGATATTGGGGAAATAGCTACAAAAAAAGAAGGGGCAGAAATAAAGGGAGAAAGGAGAGGAGAGAGATATAACAATAAAAGTATGAAAGAAGTGGCTTAAACAATTCAGAGGAAGCAAAAGGAATAGAAAGATGGCAGAAAACACCAGAATGAGAAAAAAAAAGACAAGGAGGGGATTAAAAACTATAACACCCCCTCCTGTTTGTACTATGCTACTTTTATTTTTAAAGGGAAAGATGAAAATGGTACACTCACCTGGACAGGCCAAAGTCAGACACTTTAACAACTCCTTGATCATTTACCAAACAGTTTCGAGCCGCCTGTGGTGCAACAGATACACGTGAGACTCCATCCTTGGCACGCAGGCCAAACGCACAAAGCTTCTTCCCACCAGTAGAATGAAGCCAGGGAAGCCTCATCGCCTTCGACTACAGAAACCTTCCCAACTAATTGTTGATGCCACTGAGAAATTTTGATGCAATTCCACCCCACGGGGAAAGCAATCTGATATATAGTCCTACGTAAAGTACTGGGGACATGCAGAACAATTTCATTCCCATGAGCAATTCCACGACACTCCTTCCTGCACTGAAATGCTGAAACAATTGAGGGAGAACAGGAGGCAAGTTTGTTTCTTGCTTTTCTGCCAGCGAGACTAGGGCAATAAACTCTGATGCTTCCAGGGGCTAGGCAGGAAAGTAAGAGTGAAGTGGGGTAAGTGGAGATTGCAGGGAATGGAGCACACATGCCTGGTCTAAAGGAAAGGAGCCAACGTGGGAGGATTGCTTGAGGCCAGGAGTCTAAGACCAGCCTGGGCAACATAGTGAGACCCTTTCTCTACTTTTTTTTTTTTTTTTTTTGAGACAGGGTCTCGCTCTGTCACTCGGGTTAGAGTGCAGTGGCATCACCAGAGTTCACTGCAACCTCAAACTCCTGGGTTTAATTGATCCTCCTGCCTCAGCCTCCCAAGTAGCTGGGACTACAGGCACGTGCCACCATGCCTGGCTAAGTTTTCTATTTTTGTACAGACAGGGTTTCACTCTTACTGGCCTCAAACTCCTTACCTCAAGCGATCCTCCTGCCTCCGCCTCCCAAAGTGCTAGGATTACAGGCATGAGCCAGCGTGCCCGACCCCCCTTTCTCTGCTTTTATAATATTTTTAAAAGCTAGCTGGGCATGGTGACATGTGCTTGTAGTCCTAGTTGCTCGTAAGGCAGAGGTGAGAGGATGGTTTGAACTCAGGAGTTTGAGGTTGCAGTGAGCTATGATCATGCCACTGTACTCCAGCCTGGGTGACAGTGCAAGACCCTATCTCTAAAAATAAATAAAGGAAAGGAGGTGGCCTGTGAGAATATGGACCTTGTATTTCAAGATTGTCTAGATTTTTAAAAGAAGCTGGAAATTCCAGTTTTTTTAAAAAAATGTGAAATATCTCTTTTTAAGTGTTTGCTATGTATAACATTTGAAAAAAAAAAAAAAAACATGTGGGCCAAATGCACCCACAGGCCACAGTTTGTGACTCTGATGTAACCAAATGATAGCCCCATGCCAAGAGCAGTCTCGTGGGGAAGCACAGTCCCTTCTGCTCCGAGTACATAATGGCCACTGAAGGACTCCACCTCTTCCTCGTTGGCACTACGGAGCTGGAAATGAGTGACTGCTCTAGCACCCACCATGGCAGACCTCACGGACTTGACTGGCTCACCACTGGGGCTGAGACACACCCAACTTTTAGTGTTTTCTACACAAAACTGAAATGACGGCACCAGCATCCCTTCTCAACCGTGTGTGGTATGTCTTCCACTGCTACTTCTACCCCCTCGGCCCTTGGTCCCCTGCCAATCCTTCTGAGGGCCCACCAGGTCTCGGTGAAGGAACTGCTTTGACTCCAGGTATTCCATGGCTTCACAGACATCCTTGCACATCTCCAGCAGCTGCTGAGTCTGAAAGCGGTGGCGCATCTCCCTCAGGTAGTTCAGGAGGCAGCCATTGGCCATGTACTCGGTGATGATGAAGATGGGGCGCTGTTTGGTGCAGACGCCATACAACTGCACCAGCTTCTCATGGGAAAGATTCCTATAGGAGAGACAGCAAGGAACCAGTTCTCCCCTTTTGGCTTTACATACCAGTCACAAAGGGGCTAAGGAGGAGAGGGGTTGGCCTAGGAGGAGAGCATCACATAAGGGCCCACAATAGCAAGTTTGCTTTCTTCCTTCCCACCCTAAACCTCAAGAGTGCTTTTTTTAATTTTTAATTTTTTTCTTTTATTAAATTTTATACTTTTTTTCTTTTTTTTTTTTTAACAATCTGCAGCACTAATGTATTCTCTTAAGAGTGCTTACTTAATATGTGGAGGTGAGCATGGATTTGAAACTGATCAATCGAACAGGAAACAAAATCTAGGGCTGAAAGAACACTAAGGCTAAATTAGAATCAGTCTTTCTTTTGAAAGTTTCACTTTCTACATCTAGCCCCAAATGCTATTGAGATGGTACACACCCATGATCAACACTGTTCTCAACCAATATCTAAGGAAGAGAAATGATTACCTTAGCAATTAGGACTCCCACCAATCAAAGGTTGACCTCAGGCCCTGGTCCCAAATCTATCTCACTGTAAGTCACCTTTAAACCACAGTGGGTTGTCCTGGTAGTTCCTGGACTCCAGAAAATAGATTGAGATTTGAGTTTGGGCTGTAACTCACATCATGACTTTAGCTTCTTCAATGAATTCGTCTTCAGACATGGAGCCTTCTTTGATCATCTTGATGGCCACATCATACTGGCCTCTCCATTTCCCGTACTTCACTACTCCAAACTGCCCAGTCCCCAGCTCCTTCAAGAAGGTCAGGTCCTTTGGATCAATTTCCCATGATCCTAAGAACAAAGTCTTGGTGTGATTCTTTGGGGTCATGTGTACATAATTCCTACAATAGATAAGAATCCCTACTGGGGTAGAAATAGGAAAAGTAGTAGAAGGGAATTTCCCAAAAGTAGTAATCCATCTTTTCTCAGGTCAATCTCAAAACATCCCAAAATCCCTTTATGATTATATTAATGATGGTAGTTAATGGTGCTGAAAATTTTTACCACAATTAAAAATAAAAGACAGGCCAGGCACAGTGGCTCAGGCCTGGTTGTAATCCTAGCACTCCAAGAGGTCGAGGCAGGCGGATTGCTTGAGCTCAGGTGTTCAAGATCAGCCTGAGCAAAAGTGAGACCCCATCTCTACTAAAAATAGTCATGGTGCGGGCCTGTAGTCCCAGCTACTTGGGAGGATGAGGTAGGAGGATCGCTTGAACCCAGGAGTTGGAGGTTGCAGTGAGCTATAATGATGTCACTGCATGCTACCCGGGAGACAGAGCAAGAGTCTGTCTCAAAAAAATATATCTATGTGTGTGTGTATATATATATATATATGGGAAAAGATAAAAATAAAAGACAAGGCTGGGCGCGGTGGCTCAGGCCTGTAATCCTAGCTCTCTGGGAGGCTGAGGCGGGCAGATTGCTCGAGGTCGGGAGTTCGAAACCAGCCTGAGCAAGAGCGAGACCCCGTCTCTACTATAAATAGAAAGAAACTAATTGGCCAACTAATATATATAAAAAATTATTAGCTGGGCATGGTGGCCTCAATGCCTGTAGTCCCAGCTACAGGGAGGCTGAGACGAAGGATCGCTTGAGCCCAGAGTTTGAGGTTGCTGTGAGCTAGGCTGACGCCACGGCACTCACTCTAGCCTAGGCAACAAAGCGAGACTCTGTCTCAAAAAATAAATAAATAAATAAATAAATAAATGACAAAAAGACCCAAAACAACAAATCTCTTACGAATCTATGTATTTGCAGTCCCAGTAGGAGCCACTAGAGGGAGAAAATTATTAAATAACTTTTTTTTTTTTTTTTTTTTTTTTTTTTTTTGAGACAGAGTCTCACTTTGTTGTCCAGGCTAGAGTGAGTGCCGTGGCGTGCCCCTAGCTCCACAGCAACCTCAAACTCCTGGGTCGAGTGATCCTTCTGCCTCCAGCCTCCCGAGTGCTGGACTACAGGCATGTGCCACTATGCCCGGCTAATTTTTTAATATATATATATCAGTTGGCCAATTAATTTCTTTCTGTTTATAGTAGAGACGGGGTCTCGCTCTTGCTCAGGCTGGTTTTGGAACTCGACCTTGAGCAATCGCCCCGCCTCCGGCTCCCAAGAGCTAGGATTACAGGCGTGAGCCACAGCGCCTGGCCTTAAATAACTTTTGCTTGACTGTCTTAACCTTCTTTGAGGCAGCTGGTGTAGAAGAGGGTACCTCAAGAACACCCGCTAACGCAGGGTCTTAGAAGGTAGTCTTTGCAACTGGGCGGCCCACCCTACCCCAGAGAAACAAGCAGTTACCATAGCCCAGGCCTGCAGTGGAAGGTGCATTCTTGTTTTGTTGAGACACTGGATATTTGAGCCTGGATATGAGTCCTGAAACAGAGAGGTCACACTGTTGGTGCAGCGTAGGGGTTGAGACACCTTGCCCTTACTTAAAGCCTCACACTTCCAGCATGTATCTTTCTAGTACATTTTAAATCCCAGAAGATCTCCACAAATCCACATTTTTCTGGAAGTTTCTCCCCTCACGAGTTTTCAGGAATGCAAAGGAGAAAATACTAATTGAAATACACCCGAACTAATTATATTCCCATCTCCCAGCCTAGGTTTAGCTCACATCCGACCTTCTCAATGAAGCTTTTCCCACATATTCATGCCCTCACCGATCTCCAAGTTTTTCAAATGTTGACGTTAGTTAGAAACTGTCTTCTGATGTTGTGTAACCTGCATGTTCTTTTCTTTTCTTTTTTCTTTTTTTTTTTTGAGACAGAGTCTCGCTTTGTTGCCCAGGCTAGAGTGAGTGCCATGGCGTCAGCCTAGCTCACAGCAACCTCAAACTCCTGGGCTCAAGCAAGCCTCCTGCCTCAGCCTCCCAGAGTGCTAGGATTACAGGCATGCGCCACTGCATCCAGCCTAATGTGCATGTTCTTTGAGGGCAAGGACCTCGGCTCAGAATCCTGTGATCTCCTCTAGAACTAAGGAAATTGGTGAGTACACAGTAGGAACTCAATGAATATTTGCTGACTGATTAGTCACCAGCCTCTTCTGGTGTCTTTTCTTAGCACTGAGCATCAATTATCAAGTAAGAAGTTATTTCTTATAGGTCTGCCTTTGACCAGCTCCTTACTAGACCTCCATCCAGTGGCTCAGGGATTTACTTTCACAGCTAATTCATGCTGCCCTGTGAGGCATATTCTTCCCTTCACCACCTTGTCCCGAATTGTTTTTCCTAGTGTTTGTGACACTCTTCTTCTCAGTTGCCCCTGGTACTCACCTGCAGAGTTGTGCTGATGGTAGTTAATGAGCTCAGGGATGGTGCTGAAAAGGTGCTTCTCAGCCAGGTAATACTGGCTCTGAGGTGTGGAGCACACAACGTAATGGCGGATCACCCCTTGAGTGTCCCTGAAGAAGTGGATACTTAGTAACTCGGGAACAAGGGTCAGCAGGCCCCCAGAAGTGAAGAGAGATGAGATTTGGGTTTGCGGGGCAGAGGAAGGAGGAGGGGCACGCCATTAAGGAGCTGTTGGGAGGGTCCCCCTGTCCTTGGTTCCCAGGGCCTTAGAACAGTAGCACTCACCCTGTAGATTTAGCAAACACAGACACTGTATATTTCCCAGCTTTGCTGGAGTCTCTGACAATGAAACCTCCTTCTTTCCCCTGAAACAACAAAAAAGAAGTTGCCTGGAGGAGGAAGTGGCGCTTGCACCTGCATCCCACCTGCCCAAACCTGAGAGAAAATAGAATCACCCCTGATTTTACTGCCAAGTTCCACACCTGAGCTGTAGCCTCACTGCTTTTACTATTAAAAAGTCTAACTGGGACCCCAGATGACAGCAGCTTTGACACCACTTTGCCCAAGGGTGGTGGGCAGAGCAGGCCCTCAATTCAGGATCCTCACTCACTTATCGTGCAGGGAGAATGCTGTCAGACTGTGATCCCGCACTTACCTCTTGCTTTAGCAGTTGCTCAGCTTGACTCCGAGTCATGTGCTTAGAATACCACCTGCGAAGGGACAGTGCTTGAGTGGCTCCTGGGCCAGGTCATAAGGGGCTCCTTCATGCCAGTGATTCAATCATTTCACTCAAAACCCTATTTACTGAGTATCTGTCATGTGCATAGCCCACTGTATCCCTTTCCCAAACCCAGGCTGGCACCGAAGATTCATGGAAATGGAGAGTAGCAGGCAGGGGGAGGTAGCAGGGGGTTGCAGGAAAGAGATCAGGGACCGGGGCACTTAAGGACAATCCACTTCCATGACTAGAGAGAAAAGGACAACAGTAGCAGTTGGCATTTGACTTTTTTTTTTTTTTTGCAACTCCTGGGCTCAGCGACCTAACTGCCTCACCTCCCAATAGCGGGACTACAATGGCATGCCCACCATGCCCAGCTAATTTTTTGTATATATATTTTAGTTTCAAGTTAGTCTTCCTATTTCAAGTAGAGACCGGGTCCGCTCTGCTCAGGCTGGTTTCGAACGCGCTGACCTTTGAGCCGATCACCTGCCTCGGCCTCCCAGAGTGCAGGGATTACAGGCCGTGACACCGCGCCGCCACACATTTTTAATTCAAGATACATAATAACATAGTGGGCAAGCATGTCAAAGATGCCACACCCCAAGTAGTGCCTTATCTACCTCACCCCAATACTCCTAATGCTTAGAGTAGCTGAGAGGTCACCAGAGCCAAAATCCAGAAGAATGAACTTCAAGAGAAAGATTGCAACCTGATGGAACATTGAAAGTAATAAAATGTCCAAAGCCAGGCCAGGCGCGGGGTTTACGCCTATAATCGAGCACTCTGAGCCTGAGGCAGGAGAATTCGCTCAAGCTCAGAAGTTCGAACCAGCTGGCAAGAGCGAGACCCGTCCACTAAAATGAAAGAATTAATGCCAACTAAAATATATAGAAAATTAGCCGCATGGTCGTGGGCCTGTAGTCCAGCTACTCAGGGGCGGAGGTAGCAGGATTGCTTGAGCCAGGAGTTGACTGGTTGCTGTGAGCTAGGCTGACTCCATGGCCACCTCCTCAGCCTGGGCAACAAGAGGAGACTCTGTCTCGCAAAAAAAAAAAAAGTAGTCAAAGCCAACTGCTACTGTG